TACTCTGGGAGCTTTTTCCTCCCTGTGCCTAATGTCAGCTTGTGGCTATAACTGTTCCCATGTGCCGTTTTTGGCAAGATTTGGCTAATTAAATTTTTGTTAAACCCATGCAATGAAGAAACAGCTGCTCCCCTGTTCAAACCCAAAGTAAATGGGCTGCAAATTAGATTTTTTTTTTTTGTTTGTTTCCCAAGAAAAATTTCTGTTTTCTGTGACTGGAGCCTTGATTCAAACTCTAAGTGTTCCAGTAACAAGCTCAGCTCACAGCCACATGCTTGCAAACTAACATCTAACATGGCATAGGTTCTCGCCTTCTCCCACTTACTTGGCTTTTACAGTCACCAGCATAACTGCCAGTGCAAGTAAGTGCTTGTTAGCACATTAGCCTGTGGATATTGCTCACGACAGACTCACAACTTACACTCGTCCACAGAAGTTACACAACTTTTACTGGCTGCTAGTGTTAATAATTGTTTTGCATTTTAATTAAAATAATTTTTTTTATCATCCCAAGGTTGTTTCTTTTTTCTGCCACTGTCATGATACAACATACATCCAAGTTGGTACATTTTGTAAAAGTACATGTAACATCAACACAGTGAACACAGTAAGCTGGGAGTAGAGAGAGACAGAATGCAGGATGGATTTCTTGGCTGTTTCTTAATAACCACTTGGCAATATGGCTGAATAATACAACATATGGTGTGAATGTCAGCCCAGGCTCTGTGTGTGTGTGTGTGTGTGTGTGTCTGTGTCTTCTGTCATAACACTCACCTTTGAGCATATTTTAAATGCAAGTGTGTATGAATATGTATTTTCTGTGTGTGCCAGACCCTGCGTGAGGAGAAGGCGTCCCACGAGAAGGACGTGAACAACATGCGAGCTCGATACGAAGAGGAGGCCACGCAGATGAAGGAGAGCCAGGCTCGAGCTCTGGAGGAAGTGGCCAAGAAGCACAGAGCGACCCTGGAAAACACTCTGAGCAGCGCCGAGAAGGACAAGACCCGTCTGCTGGCTGTGAGTAGACACACACACGCCCACACACACATTTTTTCACACACTCCAAGGTGAAAACAACACACATTGAAAATACAGATCATAAATAACAATGCAGTGGAGGCTCTTCTTGATGCTGATTATGAACCCCAGCTTTTTCCTGCTCATTCCATTTAACAAAGATGGTGCTTGAGATGGTGAGTTAAGCGGTCATTAATAATGAAAATCATTTTCAGATTGCTGCATCTTGTGTAATCAGCATTCATTGCTAAAGCCGGAGGAAAATGAACAGCTGGATGTTTTAATTGAACCTGGATCATCAAGCTCGGGGCTTAATTCAGATGGTAACGACGATGTCCTTGGGATGCTTGTGTTCTGCAGCTTGCTGGGAGGATGACTCTCTTTACAGGCACCAGAGGAAAGTGTACTTGGAACAATTTTGTCCAACTTTACTGCATTCACATTCATTTGGAAATATTTACTTTAGACTGTACTCCAGTTGTTGTAGTCACTAACTGACTGATATCAATAGATGAGGTCGTACATTTGGCATTGCTCTCTTGTTTCCCATGTCTCCGCTACCACTAATTTGACTGCAGCTGAAGTGCACGGTTCCAGCCGCCTGAAATAGCCTCATCTCTACAGAGTCCTTTGTTCCAGTCACATGCAACCATGTGAAAGCAAGTGATCAAGTATTCTCTTGCACCAAAGTTGCATAATGAGGACATGTTTTAAATGATATCTCACAGTAGACCTGATCAGATGACAGCTAGAAGAGAAGAGTCCTGTGCATTTCCATAGTTATTAGATGCAGTATGTTATGTGTTCCATAAACAGACTTCCTCCTTCCTGGGCCTGTGGGATTTCCATTCCCTCTCCCCGTGCTCTGATCTGCACTGTAATTTGCCATTGTTCCCTGTTGTTCCTGATTATGCTGTCAGCGTTGTTGCAGAATGCCCAGACTGAAAAGAGCGACGGGGAGAAGGAGGAGGAGTAGGGTGAAAGCGAGTAGCAGCTTTCATTCACTTCTCGTTCATTGAATGCTGCTTCAGTCATCTGTTTTCTATTGTGTCTGTAAATCACGGGTTAGACAGAGGCCAAGGAATGAATGTTCGTTCATCCGTCTGTTCACCAATCTCTTCATTCTTATTTCTGATCCAAGTTTTGTCACATCTAGTTAATTGTCTTTTTTTATCACCTCTATTCTTTCATCACTTTAAATTATAATGAGAGTTGTCTGTGAGAAGGCTGCCTTTGGAATTTAAATGAATAGGTCTGTTCTGCTGCAAGGCATGACATGAATCCTGATGTGTCATATTCCATCTCTCCCCATGTGGCTTTGACTGTTTTGATCAACCAATGGCCAATCATGTCCTGAAATATCATGCACTCACTGATATAATTTGTCTTCTTTGTATTTCCTGGTTGTAGATCCAGTGTCTGATGTGGCACATGGTCATGAAAGGAAAGTAACCTCAGGCAGGATTTTTGTATAAAATATACCAGAGTGTTACAGAGTCACCGTAATTAATAACCTGCACATTCACTTTATTCTGATTCTGAAAACAAACACAAGTAGGAAGCATTGCTCACGAGGTCTAATTAAGTGAAAATTTAGCAGACATCATTTTCTGAATTGTCTAAGAAGTTAAGAAATGACTCCCTCTTCTATTTACTGTAACTGGCATGAGGGACGTTCGGTATCTGTGATTAAGACAACGAGATGGAGAATTAGTAGCATTAACAACATCCCACATGTTACCTGGCCATAACAAATATTGGATTACCGTTTAAATCTCTAATGCATTTATAAGTTCAAATAGAACAGTCTTGCTTTTCTTCTTGACTTATAATGCAGTGGGTTTAAAGCTGCACTAATCAGTGCTTTAACAGTAACAGTGACTCTCTGTAATGTGAAAAGTGTTGCTAGACGATTCTCACCAGACTGACGGATGACAAATTTACTGGATCAAAATAGTTTCTGAGAAGGCTGCATGAGTACACACATAGAAAACTTTTTAAATGTATTGATTCATAGATTTTCCCCCAGCCAGGCCTCGGACAACCATTACACATAACATTAAAAAGTTGACAACATACAAACAGCAGGAGGTTTGTGTGAGTTATACAGATGTCTACAGACACAGTGTTAACAAGGAGCATTTAGCAGCTACAGCTGGTTATTTACCTAAGGAGTTATCAGAGAGCAGAACAGAACTAAAAGGACAGTAAATACTGGGCTTTCATTCATCCTTCTGACAATCAAAACTGAAAATTTGTGCATTTTTTTACCTGTTGGATGTGAAAATAGAAAACTATAATCAGTCATTCCGACTTCATAAGATGGCTGTATGTCATTGTTGCCTTTATAGCTCGTTTCCCTTACTCTAAAGCCGTCTTTCCACTGCCACCAGAAACCGTCCTGTACTCCGGCCATCTGACCAGCTACTGGCCTGGGCTGCACAATGCTTTGCACAATGTGAGCGTTGCTCTTGCAGGGTACGTCAGGGTGCCGCCTTCTGCACGACCAGAATGGACATCGACAGTAGGTGCACGATAAAGTAAACATGGATTTGACCAACATAACTGTTGTACTGGCTTCCTTTGATTTCGTTTAATAACGAGTTACCATCTCCTTCTTCTTTTTTCTTTTTTAAAGAGGGTGGGTCTTTTTCTTTGGCTGAGACATTTCCTGGTGCCCAAGTTTTCTCTCTGCCAATCAGAATGCAGTGACACAGAAGGCCTGTGTTGTATTGAGATCTGTTCCCCCTTCAAGATGTTCCCCGTAATCTGAACCCTAACCTTATCATTCCCACAACTACCGAGGGAGCGCTACAAGGAACAGGGTTTTAACAGGGGGAAGCAGAGGGGGAACAGAGTTCAGCACAAGACCAGGTTTGGGGCGGAGTAGCACAGTCTGGGACCTGCTCCTGAGCCAGATATCATGCTTTTCAGCACGGTTTCAGCCTGGACACGGTCTGTTTCTGAGACAGTTCATGGTGGATGTGGCAAGACATCACAAGGGGCCATCAAGGGATTCAACTTTAAAAAACACTACAGCAAAAAGTTAGCACAGCAGACATACAAAACCTGGAGCTGGCAATTATCCCTAGAAGAAACAAAGCAACACTTGTTATTTTGTCCTGAATTTTTCTGAAAACCTACAGTATTTCACCATTTAATCCACAAGTAAACTTTCTCAAGGAAAGTCTTTGCACGGGCCTGAGGGAGAAAGAGGCTCCAAGGTGAACACTGCATCTGAGAAATCTTGCTGTAGCATGGGGCTTTAAAGTGGAGGATGGGCAGATAATGGCTCATTGTTGGCTTTTTAGACTTGCATCAGAGTGTTAGACACCAGAAAGATGGAGCCAGTAGCTACATGGAGCCAGTAGCAGCAGACTGGCATGTGAGCAGGTTCATGTTTGAAAGTTGAAAACTGGCTCATTGAGAGGGTTTTTGTATAATTAGGTTATAATTTGGCATGTTAGCATGGTCTTGAAATCATTCAAACCAGTTTTTTTTTTTTTTTACTAATCCATATTTGTGTCAGTCAGTATTCACGTGAGGAGTGTGAACAGCTCCTTACAGCAGAGTAACATCCCTCACTCTGTGACCCCCCCTACGGGGCGGGTGAAATACAAAACCCCATGAAATCAGTTTCTGTGCCATTCGGGTCATTTTTATGGAACTAGCAGTCAGTGGCTTTTACATCATTACAAACTCCACCTGAGTAATGGTGACAAATTTTACTTGACATTACATCCGTTTCCCTCACCTTTAATTGTTCTTGGAAGGCAGCAATCACTGCACGCTGTAACAGAAATCATTCCCCATTCATCAGAAGACAAAAGCTTTATTATGGTAACAAATGATCGAGCTCTTTCTCTGCTTTCTGCCAAGGACAATGAAATAGACATTTGTACAGATGATTGCAGTGAATGTAATGTAAAGTGAGGAGAGAGGCGAGTTCTGGCCACCACGACTGAGGAAATGCTGCCTGTATATGAGGGATCTGAGTTGTGTTTGGACAAGACGAATGTGCTACAGCTCTCACAGCTGATGTTCATCTGCAGTCAGACTTCACAGCTTCGCAGAGCAGCTGACAGGCCTGGAGATTTTTAGAGTCGTTTGTCTGTGGGTTGTAAGAATTGTGTTGAATGAAACTCAAGAAAAATTACATTGCAGTCCTTTCTGTAATTCAACATGACGACATAAAATGAATTGAGCAAGACTTGAATGTCAAAGTGCTTCATAAAGTCATGGATGTTGAAGGAAAACCGACTTGCTGTTTGGTCTTGATGATGTTTTGCCATGGAATTTTCACTGAAGCTCTTTGGCTTATCCTGCTCTCGTGGTCTGACAGATTTGTCTGTGCGATTGGTTTCCACAGGAGCTGGAGCAGCAGTTCGAGAAGGAGCGCCTTTCACTGGAGGAGCAGAAGACGCTCCTCAAACAACAGCTGGACGAGCTGAGGGAGGAGATGACCTCCAAACTCACTGCAGCTGACGAGGAGGTAGAGCATCCAGAACATGCCTGAAATAACTTGAAAGTTATATTTACATATTTAAAACCATCATTATCAACATTAGGTGATCTAAGTTTATTTTTGCCCGTGGAAGCAGCAGTTGACTGCTCGGAGGAGCTGGAGCTTTGTGCACTCCGTTCACATCTTCCAAGCTGTTCTGTGTTTTTAACATTGAAGTAAAATATCAAATGCAGTGGTAAGCTAACTATATTGCCACATGGGCAGGAGGTTTATGGAATAAATGTAAATTAGGATTGCCCTCAGTAGCAAGCATTCCCTGTATTCTGAAAGAAGACAGGACATTTTGGACATCTGGCCTTCATCAGTTTCACAGTCTCACAGTACAGCTGCTTCTTAAAACATAACATACAGGTGAATCCTCGTGAGATAATTAGCCTGTGCCTGGTTAAGTAATCATGACCGAAACAGTCTGGGTTCCTAGGACACAGGCAAAAGTGACGTTATATTCAATCTCAAGTGCGGCCCAGCAATCAGCTTTCCAGCTTGGCTGCATCGAAAGACACCGATGTCATACATGTGCAATCAGCTCTGCCTCAGGTCAATATCAAAAACAATATGGAATGAAAATGAAAATGTATATCTGTACAAAGATGTCATATATGGGTTCAGGCATTCGGAGCAAAAAAGTTTATGGACTCATTTAAAAGTCAGAAGTAGAAATGGTTATTGAAAGTATTTCTGATGGAAAATTCCACCTCGCTGAGCATAAAGTGCTGATGTAGTTTCAAGGTTGCTGCCACACTGAGATACAGCCTGAAGTGCAACAGAGTAGATGATGTGGTTGGTTCTCTCTGCCTGACTCGCTCACTGTCTGTCTGTCTGTCCGTCCTCCCCTCAGGTGTCTCGGCTGCAGCGGGAGGTGCAGCAGGGGGAGCAGGACCTCGGAACAGCTGATGGGCAGATCTCCACACTGAAGGAAGCGCAGGACAAACTGCTGGAGGAGCTAGATGCTACCAGGGCCCGACTGAGAGAGACCAGCAACCTGCTGACAGCTCTGCAGGTCAGACACACAAACACACACAGTATTTACACATTGTTTGGCACTGAAAACACCTGTTAACATGATGCACACTTTAGCCCCTCTGCCCGCCATTAACCATCACACAACGCCATGCCTAACCTCAAACCTTAATTTAGCCTTTATGCTAAAATCAGGTTTACGTCCTAAACAGACTTTTAATTTCAATTCAGTTTTATTTGTATAGCACCAAACCACAACAAAAGTCATCTCATGACAAAGTAATGCCTAGACCTTACTATTATTATGTGGAAAAACCCAACAAATCCTCGTTTGGGCGAGGTGAGGACCAGTAATATGTCCTCACAGTCAAAAACTCAGACTGGAATAAAGCTAGACATATAAGAGCTGAGTCAGGTATCACCTATTTGGTCAAGTTCTACTGTATCTGGAATTTTCATTTCTGTCTTATCTAACTTATTTAGTCTATAAAATGTCAGAGAAATGCCACCACAGGTTGTCACAGCCTAAGCTGATGTCTGCCTATTGCATGTTTAATTTGACAACGGTCCAAATCCCAAAACATTCTGTTTGCAGTTATATAATGCAGAGAAAAGCAGCTGATCCGTGGATTTGAGTCAATGGAAGCAGTAAATGTCTGGTGGTTTATATAAGTGGCCACACTATTAATCCATTTTTCAGTTTTGACAGTTTATTTGTGTTTATCAACTTCAATTCTGCCCTATAATGTAGAGCAAAATGTGTTTTTGCAGGGGGCTTCTGTGTCATCGCTATTTTTGGTTTGACACTGCCACTGGGCAACATTTGAACTGATTAATAGCAACGTCACTTTAAAAGGCTTCCACCATTTTTCACGCTACATAAGATTCTAGATTTTTTGAGTTGCCTAAAGAACTGGATTCATGCCAGAGCAGAAAATACTTTCCAGTGAAACCAAGGTTTGTCTCTGTCTCAGGGAGAGTTGGAGACCCAGAAACGTCAGCATGAAGCCAAACTCATCACCACCAAAGAAGAAGAGAAACTTAAGATGGACAAGATGGCTCTGGAGCTGGAGCTCAAATGGACTGAAACACTCAGATACTGTAAGTGTGTGTGTGTGTGTGTGTGCGTGTGCCCATGAGAGTACCTGAAAGAGAAAGAGTACCACTCACTGTCTATTAACAAAGACAGGGCATGAAATTGAGAGTGGATGGGAAATGTCATGGGAGTCTTTATGTTTCCCTGTTTCTGTCTCCCACGGGTCCACACACTGGTCACTCAGCTCACAGCACTGAGCGTCACAGAGCTTTATCCTCTGCAACGTCTCAGCTCAATCCAGTGTTAAAGCCCCCAGCTCAGAGTCTCTGTTAATGTCCATGCACATTAAGTGTTATTACTCAAAAACCTCCAAGAAGGAAATTGACTGGTTCAGGGTGTGAACTACGTTTCGCACAGTAACATCAGCAGCCACCAGACGACTCCATTAGGGTTTATCTCACCATTAAACAGTGTCTTAACGGACAAGAAGGGTTTTGTACTTGTCTGTTTGATGCCGGTCATCAGTCAGGGCTGACCACACTGAAAACCAGCCATTTCCGATTGTCAGTTGATTGGTGTATCTCTACTTTTTAGTGTACCTAATAAACAGCCAGTGCATATATAATGTTTGTAATGGGTTTTTATTATCGCTATGTGTCCTTCTCTGCAGATTCTCTTAAATTAAAAATATAACTCAGGAGCTGTGTTCTCTCGTCGTATGATACTCCTCCTACCTGAGGATTTCTTTGTGTCTTCAGCGTCGTTTCTCAAGCACCCGCTAATTCCCTCAACCTGCAAGTTTGTTTAATCAGTTACTGCCCTGACTCTGCGTAAAGGTCACGCTCCATATTTAATATTTGTAGCCTTGCTTCACATCTCTTTGCGCCTCATTGCAATATATATCTTTTGTATCTGCTTATTTTCTTGTATTAATCCACGCCGGTCCTTTGGTTTAGGTTAGATATCGGATCACGTGTGTGATATAATTACAGCATTTCGACACTGCCTCCCCGCCTGACTAAACCTTCACATTACCATTATCTCAGACAGGCATCGATCAAGTCTGTACTGTGAACAAAAACTTGGCCTGATGATTCACTCCAAGATTAAGGAAAGCACAGAAAAAACACAGGCCCAGTGTCAAGTCAAATTATGTAAGAGTTGGTGTTAAAATACCAGGAAACTCTTTAGGAACCTCAGACATCTTATCTCGGGGATCATCGCAGCCTGAATCTGTCACAGCCTCTCGCCAGACAGCTTTTCTCATACCTCCTTAGAGGTATGAAGTGTCTGTGAACACAGGCTTCCTCTTACCACCGAGCTGCTTCACTAATCATGGAAATTTGTCTAGTTTCACCTGTTGTGTACTTTATACTTCTGCTGCTTCAAACAAGAGAGAAGAGGCTGTTCAGACAGGCCTGAAACATCCAGTATCTTAGCATCTTAAGCAGTAAAAGCAGTTATGCTGTGACATTAATGAGAATAAATGGCTGCTTCAAAAACTGATTAGGGGATGTCTGTGTTGGAAACATGGTGGGACGGTGGTTAGAGCTGTCGCCTAACAGGAAGAAGGTTCCTGGTTTGAGCCCAGGCTGGCTCAGTGCCTTTCTTTACAGGGTTTGTACATTCTCTGTAGGTGCTTCAGCTTCCCCTCACAGCCCAAAGACATGCAGCTTAGGTTGACTGGCGACTCTAAATTGCCTTTAGGAGTGAGAGTGGTTGTCTGTCTCTAAATGTCAGCCCTGTGATAGACTGGCAACCTGTCCAGGGTGGACCCCGCCTCTCACCCAGTGTCAGCTGGGCTTGGCTCCAGCCTCCCAGTATAGATAATGGATTAAATGATTTAGGTTAGGGTAAGGGGCTAGGGAATGCATTATGTTAAGATGGCTGCAGAAACTAGCAAGAGAGAGCACATCGACGTCTGTGACTCTGTGCTTTATACTGAGGATGTGAATGATGACACATGTCAAGTGTGCTGCATATGCATGTGTGTAAGCCCACCCTCAGTCTGACACCTTCTGGCTTCCAACGTGACAGAAAAATGCATTTGCCTTGATACTTTGTTTAACAGCTGCTATTTCAACTCCCACACAGCTATTACACTGGCAACACGCATACGCACACACATGCACAGCCATGCAAAGAGCTGTTAGCAGCACTGTTAAAGACTGATGGTCACGTTGAGGTGTGATAAAGGACTATTTATTGTTCCCATAAAGCAGGTAGTGAGCTCTCTGAAGCACCTTCCCCTGTGTAGCATTTTTGTTTGAGTCTCTTCTTTCACTAGATATTGTTGTTATACTCAGAGCAGGTCATCCTTTACCTCTTATCAGGCAAAGACTCTGCAGAGTTTGAGAAGCTTTCTAAATATTTACAGAATCAAATTAGCAAAAAATGGTGCTGAAAGTAATTTTACTGCAGAACTGGAACATTGTATTAGCTAAGCTAGCTTTCTGTTTATTATTTACTAGTCTACAGGGCTTATAAGAAACAAAAATTATACTCCTTTGGAACATTTTTATAGCCTAGTGTAACTGAGGATTATGTCGCCTACACATTTCTTTAGCTCTTTATCTCCAGTCTACCATTACATTAGTTTTTGTTACCAATACATCAAGTGTAATGTCACTGACCTTTTGGCTTTTTGCAAAGTTTGCAATCTCTATTATGAACCGATGCTACTTTTGTTGCAGATTTAGTAAATTACTTTGGATGACAGCATTGGCCATGTACCTGAAGCACAAATGTGAATATGTGTATGTCTTGTTGGGTTGCAGGCAGGAGTGTAAGAAGCTACGTGAGGAGCTGAGAGAGGAGCATGAGGAGGACAAGGCCTCAGCTCTGAATCAGCTGGCACAAAGCAAGGAGCAGGAACTGAGCAGTGCCAGGGAGAGCTGGCAGAGGAAAGTGGAGGACCTGCTGGAACAGGTGGGACTGCTGCCAGTAGATCTGTATACACACACAGTATGGGCATGTGTGTTGAATGCGTGGGTGTCGACCAGTCTTCTCTCTGGTGCGTCTTGCCTTTTTAACCATATGGAGATTCGTAAAATGACACCAAAATGACATGTTTTGGTGTTTTATACCCTTAAAGGCTTTACAGAAAGGATTTACTAAAATCGAGAAACATCAGAAAAGGTGACATGGTCACTAGTCCTTCAGATGACCTTAAACTGAGCTCCTCCCATGTAGTAGTTAAAGACGGTTTTAAATCTTCAACTTGGGCTGCAGATCTCAGCGAGATGCCAACAACATGTAGTCGAATGGCTGTAATTATACCAGTAGTAAAAAAAAATCAATAGAGAGGATGAGAAAGGCAATAAGAGCAACTGTCTCTGTTCAAAGCTTATGTTACCCCTCTAAGCCCTCCTGTCTGTGCTGGGCTGACTTATTTCTTTCTCACACTGGTGCACAAATGCACTAACACATTCATTATGCACTGCGGTGGTGAATATACCAGAGCCGGCTGCTGTTGCTAATGACCGCCCGGTAATGTTAATGTAGCGTGACATAACTCTCATGCGGTCATCATACAGACAGACAGACAGACACACAGCGTCAGTAGCTCTATGAACGTCCATCTTTGCATGCTGTGTGCATCAGCTGCTGCTCGCCATCCTGACCACTCTGTCTCAGGGTCGGCAACTAACGCGACTGCTTTGTACCTCCCAATCAGCAGAAAGGTGTTTATTTACTCTCATGTGAAATCAGAGCAGCAGTCAATCTTTTGATAGACATGCACTGTTTGGAAATCAGCCTCTTTTCTAACAGCCTGTATTTTAACAGCTGTCAGTGCCAGTCATGTCTTGGTGCGTGGGCAGATACAGTGTGACTTTTCAAAACTAGTTTTGCACACCCACAAGATGCCTCACAGTATGTCAGTCTACTACTGTGTGTTTATTAGTACTGTAAACATTAGAGTCAAATTGCTGCTTCACGTAATGAAGTGTGAGGACGTCGTTACCCTCAAACCCTGTGCACAGTTAATTATTATATTATATTATTAATAAATGAAATGGAAACCTCTGCACCTGCAGATTGGTCAAAGGCTAATTAAAGCTGTGCTGCTAAATATTTTTATATGAACAGTGTAAAAACGAATATAAGGCAAAAAATATACACATACATACTGATGTATGTATGTGTATATTTTCTACAGTAGATCAACCTCATCATCAGTGAGCCTTGGGCGTTCACGACCCTGTGGCTGGTTCACTGCTTGTCCTTCCTTAGACTTAGACATTGTTGACGTACTAACCACTGCAGACCAGGAACACCCAACAAGCAGTGTGGGAGACGCTCTGACCGAGTCGTCAGCCATCACAGTTTGGCCCTTGTCAAAGTCACTCAGGTCCTTACACTCGTCCATTTTTACTGCTTCCAACACATCAACTTCGAGGACTGAAAGTTTGCCTGCTGCCTAATAGACCCAGCACACTGACAGGTGGCAATGAGATAGTCAGTGTTACTCACTGCACCTGTCAGTGGTCATAATGTTATGGCTGAGTGGTATATGTGTACTAACTGACAAATCCACAGAGACCTATCACCCAGCTCTGCAATTCCCTTAAGCTACAGTGTTTTCACTGTAGTTCAGCTCATTGTTTCGGTTCACGCTCACCTCTCACTCATCAACCTTGTTTCCAGCAGCAGCAGGCAGCTGCTGGAAACAACACCAAGGAAAAGCCTCTCGTAAACTCACTGTACACTACAGAATCAGCAGACAGTTTTAGAGTCTTTCCTATGTACACAGTGGGGTATTTGTAGTAGCTAAATAGCCAGATATTTCCCTCAGGAGCTGAACAGAACTAAACCGAACACGAGCTAAAAGGGATTGAAAACTGGACATTTATCAGGTGGAAACAAACCTGGTTTCTCTGTGTCTTCTGGGTAATAATACCACTATCAATTCATACTTACCCCATGGCACCATTATAAAGTTATAATATGTCAATGTTTTGTTTACAGCTTGTTGCATTACCCCCAAACGGGTCAACAAAACCCTCTAATGCAGGATTAAAGCATCCCAGAGCCAGCCAGCTTCACACATTTACTGTCCCCATAAAGCACATATCGTGCCCTCTGAAGCACTTTTATTTTTTGTTTGAGTCTCTTCTTTCACCAGATATTTGTTGTTACACTTGTGAGCTACAATAACAGAGCATTATGCACACATATACAGAGTATAAAAGGTGCCTAAAAGAAAAACACCAGGTTTTTGGAGAGTATAAAATTGAGTTTTTGTTTTTGTTTAAACGTCACCAATGACCTTCAGGATTGCTTTCTTATCTTTTCGACAGCCAGTCGGTTTCAGTTTATGCCAGAATAGCGTAGAAGGCAGAGACTTGAATCTTACTCGAAACAGGAAATCCATCAGACCCTCTTATTATTGATCATAATTCAGTCACACAAATACTGACGGACTCCGTGGTCTTTCAGCTTATTCCTTGAGTTTAATGGTCCACAGCTTTACCTTTTGATTCAGCCTCACCATTGTCATCAGTCAAGTTTCAAGTCACAGCAGAAACCGATTGCTGCAGCTTTAAGTGGTTGAGCTCTGACATTAAACAGATCGATTGCCATGCAGAGTTGATAATATGAAATATACACCAGAAATACGCATCTCCAGACAAAGTCCCAGCTATGCAGAGTTAATGATGTTCAGCTTCTTTAAATTCATGAAATCAGGTTGTACAAGGTTGTACTTGTTTATCTCTACACTTGCCAAAATAACTATTATCTTAAGTTGTCTAGACAGACCTGTATGGTGCATCGTACTGCTTTGTTCCAACAGTATATTCATTGCACGTCAGCATTAGCCCGAGTTTATTATGTACTGTGTATACAGTTTATTTGCAAAATGTAAAAAAGAAAACTCTTTCGCTGGAGGTTTAAAGACTATCTAATATCTTAATATGGTAATATTTGCTGATTGCAGCAGCTCTTTGGCCTTCTTTGTTATTCTGCTGCGAAGAAGCTGTTCCCTAGAAACGGCCTTATACATCTCACTCCTCTCGCTTTGCTTTCCTTCTAGTTCACATATGTAAATGTTGCCACAGCTGTCCCAGTATTGTCCTCCACTCCAACATTTAGTTATTTTGTCTGTCCTGTTCCAGATCTCCTTGTTGAAGCAGAGCCTGGAGATGCAGCTGTCCCAGTCACAGTCTTCGCTTCAGCAGCTGCAGCACCAGTTCAGCCAGGAGAGGGAGCACCTGAGGATGCAGCTGGACGAGCTGCAGACGGAGCACCAAAGGAGGCAGCAGCGTCTGCAGGAGGTCCACTGCTGCGCCATGCAGGACCTGGAGCATGCCAGGCAACGAGACCTGAAGGTCGGTGGCGCTTAACATGCTCACGTACATAACTGTATGTTTTAAACAGTATAAATTAAAGAATTTTTAAAGCAGATAATAAATTTACCTTGTAGCATTTTCATGTAAAGAAACATGTCATGTTTTTTTTAAACATTTCTGCACAAAACATTTGCAAAGCTTTGAATATTTACAGTAGCTTACCTCTGTGTTTGTTAGTTTTCTTCATGATAATAATGTATGTTATACATTTTTAAAGAGCATATGAAGCTTTAGCATGTTTGTTTCTGTGCCAGTTAGAGAAGCCATCCATGACATTTTAGTCTAATATGTTCTCGCTAGAGTCAAGGTTGGACTGTCAGTGAGTCATCACCATCATTACTCATTCACTGACAGCAGATCGCTTCCATATCAAGTAGCTATGGTGACAGCTCTGTGTTTCCTCTTCATAATGTCACAACATGTGTGCACAAACAGCATACACACTGCTCAAGGTGCCAAGAAGCACTAATCCCTCTGCTTCACAGTCGAGGTCGATTTGGATCAGCTATACATCACAGTCCCAAACCCTTTTTGCGTCTGGAAGCTGTAATGTTCCTGGCAACTCCTTGAGCATTTATGTGCGTGGAGAAAGAATATCATCCTTGAGTGACACAGTGTTTATGAAATCGGCAGTCTTCATTATTTTCCTGTAAACCGAACTGACTGCTATGACAAACATGCTCCTGCATGTTATCTTCATCTCCTCCTCCACTCGTTTCTTCTCCGATTCACAGTAGCTCGTACGCATTTGCTCAGTATAACAACAAAACTGAGCACCTTTTGTGTCACTCACTGAGAGCGTTCATTCTCCCGCAACAGTCCGAGTTCTTAAGCAGGGAAATAAAGTGTTAAAAGGTTTTTGGAGAACTGTTATGGTGGTGGGTGTTTATATTTCCGTCAGCAGTGCAGGGAGAGAAAACCCAATTATCCAGAGTGCAGGCATTAAAGGGATGATGTGTGTTTGGGTGGATGGGAGGTACATTGAGATTGTATGGTGTTATCTGTTCACACTTCACAGACACTTATATCCAGGGAGTAATAAAGTTGTTGCAAATCCCTGCTACAAACACACACATTCACAAAAACTAATTGAGCTCCCGGTCCCCGACGTGCAGGCACAGAAAGCTGAAAATAGAAGCAGGGAGCACACATGGAGCAGCTGACAGCAAAATGATTTGCTTGTCAGCTTTTGTCTTCCTGATCTTATTTCTTAGACTCTATACATTCTTCTGCCTGCAAGCTTTAAGATCTGTTTTACCACGGCATGTGAATATTAATACAAATCACTGTTTGGTCGATCAACCACTTTGGTCCAGGCTGAAATGTCTTCGCAGTCAGACGGATTGCCGTGACATTGTGTGCAGACATTCACGGTCCCTAGAGAGCGAATGTACTGAGATCAGTCGTTATCGTCCCACATGGGAAATTTTGCTCACAGAAAGACAAAAATAAATTCATCAATCTGTCTCATCCATCTGTAAGACAGGAATATTAATTCAAAGTAAAATTTAATAAGGACAAACTAAACAGATGGAACCAGTAAAACGACAGAGGATTATTTTACTGCACTGTAAAATGTAGCTGGCTCCGTTAAGGTGGAATTATCAAAGCTGTGACAGAGCTCACTGACAATAATGTTTGGCCTCTGCCTTCATTTAAAACCATATGAGTGTAGATTACTATTAGATGTGTTAAATTTACTGTGTTAATAACAAGGAACTAACGAAACCTTGAGCACTAAGTGCCAAACCCCAGCTTTGCTGTTTTTTCTTGATCTGATCTGAATTTGAAAGACTACATATAAACACCAATATCATGTCCTTTATCTCTATCTCCTCAGCTAGCATTATTCTCTCTTCTCTGTTCTGCTGTAGAAAGCTTTGAATAAACTGAACATTATTATGATGCAGCAGCCTGCGTGCTGTCTAAGACCAGAGGAAGAGAGCAGATTACACCTGTGTTGGCTGCAGGTTAGTTTGGGCATTAACATTCTGCTATTGGGTGTTAAATCACTCCACAGTTTAGCCCCTGAATATAATCGGTATATCAGACACACTTTTAAGCTGCATCCCTTTCAAATGCCTCAGTTCTCCAGCTCACATCTTTACATTGTCCTCGGGGTCGGGCTTAAGATGTGTGCTGAGGCAGCTGGATCAGCCTGTCAGAGGACCTCAGAGTTCATGTCTTTGAGCTTTTATCCCTCACTTGTTAATCAGTTTCACCCCCTTTTGCTTACTTGAATGGATCCACCCATGGACAGAGTAACAAATACCGACTGTCCAGTAATGGAATGAAGATTGAACAGGCTGGCCTCCACACCCGACCCGCACAAAGAGGAGGTGCTGTTTTTACTGACCCACAGCACAAAAGGGCCAATAATCAATACCAATTAATAAGAGACATTAGTGGCTTTTAAAACCCACTTTCTCCTGCTGTGACAAAGCCTCCCACTGGACTTTCAACACGCATTTACTTGTATTTTTACCAACTCATAATTAAGGACAGCAAACAAATGACCAGCACTTTGGTTTATGGCCAAATACCTGCAAAATGAACAACATTCCCTTAAGACTTCGCTGTACTGTGTTTTTACTGTTGGTGAGCTAATGTTAGCACACTAACATCTAAATTAAGATGGTGAACATGGTAAACGTCACCTTGTAAACGTCAGTATGCTGGCATTTAACTCAATTTTAAAACATAACTAGAAAACTAGAAAGAACAATTTGTGATCTGGTGAGGAAATTAGGCTTAAGGTACAGTACACAGTTTGGTGTGGAGGGTTCGTGTTAAGACTGTGCTGCAGGACGGTTAGGAAATATGAGACCCTGAAATCGGAGGGAGGGGTAGAAGCTTGTCGTATTATTATCTGTTTCTCAAGAGAAATTGTTTAATGAACTGTTGTCATGTTTGTAGTCAAGGTGTCATTTTGGTGGTGGTTTGACAGCCAGCGTCCCAGACTGAGCTTAATGGACGCTTGACACGACCAGTGAGTGTGGTTTCCAGAAAGTAAAGCCATATTTCCAGTGAGCCCACTACTACACACGCAGACACTCGGACACAAAATGTGGCTCCTCACACATGAACAGCTTTTTCTGTCTGAGTGAATGATCAGCTGCCAGGAGTGTGATGTTACTGCGCTTGGCGTGTGTGTGATGGCAGCCCTCCAGTCAGCTGTGTTAATGCCTGATGCTGATGTTGTGTGGATAGATGTTTGCCAGTTTTCTTTGCTAATATTCTAATATGTTTTTCTGGGTAGGTTGTTTGTTAAACTCTTGTTAGCAAGCTGGTGCTGAGATCAACAATAGCTACATGAAACAAAGGTTGAAAAGTAACTAAAACTTTTTATATTCCTTCAAATATAAAGGAGAATTATCTGCATTTTAAAATAGGTGTTTTTAGGAGACCTCAAATATTAGAGCATTGTCTGTATTTCTGTCATAGGATGTTGCTTTAAGGATGTGGCCAGTTTAAAATGTTCCCTGTCTCTCTTTTCCTTTCCATTCTTAAACCCACTTTTCTGCTGCTTTCCTTTCTTTCTGCTCCGTCTCTTCCTTATATGCTGCTCATTTTCTTGAACTTCTCATCAACAAATCTTCCTCTGCCTCCCCCCTCTCCTCTCTTTTTCTCCATCCCATTTTCTCCTTTATTCTCTCAAACCATTTTCCTGCCCTCACTTTGCTCCTCTCGTTAAACCGGTGTCACCCTCCCCCGGTTCCCCTAACCCCCTCCACCACCCCTCTTCCTCACACGCTCATCTCTGCATTAGGAGCTGGAGGAGCGTCTCCGCCACCATCACCTTGCAGAGCTGCAGTCTCTCAGAGAGGCTCACCGCCAGAGCATTGAGACGCTCAAACAGCATTCAGAACAAGAGCTGCAAACGCTCCGCTTTGAACTGGAGGACGAGGGCAAAGCCATGCTGGGTAAGGTGTCTCAGAGTGGGTGGGTACATGCATCCAAACAGATTCACCCTCTCATGACCTTTTGGCACGTTTTGCACTGATATGAGATTTTTGGTCATAGTCTGCTCTGATTGTACTGTGGAAGCTGAAGTGACAGTGAAAGAAAATACAAAAAAAAATGTATTACTCTCTCTCCTTTCATGCGACAAATGAAAGAAAAACCCTGAATAACTGAGTGGTCTCCTCCAGGATGATAGTGCCCCCATCCACAGGGCACGAGAGGTCACTGAATGGTCTGATGGCCATGGTGCGAATCATACTCTGTGGCCTTCACAGTCACCAGGTCTCAACCCAGTTATGGGAGCGCCGTGTTAGACAGAGTCTCCACCGCCATCTGGAAGAACAGTGTTTATCCCTCCAGTAGAGGTCAGAGACCTGGAGAGTCAGTCTGGAGGTGAAGCTGTTCTGGTGGCACGTGGTGGCCCAACACCTCATTGAGACTCTATGTTGGGGTTTCCTTAGCTTTTGTCTGTACATGTAGATAGTTATGGAATCCTGACTTTTCTCATTAAATCATGTCATAGTAATGTAGAATGAAATTTACATCAGATCAGGGCTAAAATGGAAGCTGTGTCTTTCTGTAATAACGGGGGATTAACATTTGGGTCCATCATTTTCTCCAACATTTGTGTCTTCAGGACTGATAGAATGCAAGACATGGATTACTTGCGTGGCTACAGACAGAAAGAAACATCCTCACATCACAGATTTCAATATTACAGCTTTCTGTCTTAACGAAATGCTGAAACTGGACAGAGATACTGCACTCTGTCTTCCATCCATTGATTATCCTGAATAGGGTCACAGGGGCCTGGAGCCAATCCCAGCTGACATTGGGCGAGAGGCGGGGTGCAGCCTGGACAGGTTGCCAGTCTATTACAGGGCTGACATGTAGACAGACACAACGCTCCTACGGGCAATTTAGAGTCTCCAGTCAGCCTAAGCTGCATGTCTTTGGACTGTGGGAGGAAGCCGGAGCACCCGGAGAAAACCCACACAGGCAGACATGCAGATTCTGGGTTGGTCCGGGCTCGAACCCAGAACCTTCTTCCTGGAAGCGACAGCGCTAACCACTGTGTCACCGTGCCGCTTGCAGTCTGTGTTTTAATATATAATGTAGGGATAACACATAAAGTCTGTTGAGGATGTCAGCAGAAGTCTAAAGTTTAAAATGGCCCAACATTTCTACAGAAGTGCAGCCAAATCTCAGCCACTGGTGCTAATACACCAGTGTGTGTGCTGTGATAAATGGTCTTCTATTGACCTTCATGTCATAGTCTTGATAC